ATAAAGTTAATATTTGTTTTAGAAACCCAGTTGAGAAATGATTCCTTATTGCATAATTCGTAACTAGTTGAAGGATATTTGTATTATTCATTGAGAATGCCAAACTTTCCAAAAGTTGTGTGTATTATGGTTCTACTTTTTGTTTCTGGGGGTGAGTACTTGTAATATTCTCACAACATCATGCGCCTAAAATATCGCTTATGTCTTCTTTTGAGCCTTCTTTCTGATTGAAAAGTACTTATGATGACCTAAAGTTGCTACAGGATGTAGTCATGTCAGGTTAAGGAATGTTTGTTAGATTTTTGAACTCCTTGGGTTTTTTGCCTATGATACAGGGTATTTCCCTTTCCCGACATTTAAAAAGAAACCACATCAAATATTTCGAAAAGGAGTTACATAACCAATCAACATTTTTAGCTTATTGTGTTCCTTAACTAATGCTCTTGTGATTTAAAGTATCAATTTTAAATTCCAGATTTGTTTTTAATTTCACCTGACTACATCCTTGAATACACGTCCTTTTGGGCTTTGTTGGATATGTGTCTCATTGGCAACGATACCACCCTCATCTTATTCTATATTGTAACAAAGAAATGTTTTTTTTTTAAAAAGCTGATCTGAAAATACCAAAGCTTTGTTTTTTTCTAGTTTGATTTAATTATTTGTTCGGTAAAGAGCATTAGCTGTCAAATTCATGTTCACCGATTGAATTCAAATTTTCATATTTGATTTATAGCATACTAAAACGTAATTCCCTATTACAAAAAGTATAAAATAAACAATTAACAATGAATTGACTCGATAATATATATCAACCTCGCTTGTGAATTTTATTCCAGACGCAATCTAATAATCTATCGAAATGACCTCCGAACACTGCCGACGTTCATATAGCCCCATAAAGACAGAAATATAAATATAAATAGATAGCGAAACGTGCAATTGGACTTTTCTAGGTCTGTTTGATTTCATATTTTATGCCAAAAAGTATGTTCATCATCGTTTTTACCTGTATATGAATAATTTGTTTGTGGATCGATTGGTCAACCGTATTGTTTCACCTTTGTTTCAATTTCAATGTTGACACATTTTCCTTTTAAAACCTGAACATGCCAAGTACATGCATGAACCATCTATAAATAAGGGTTGAAATTAAAGGTTAGATGCATACGAACTCATTGTGGTTATACTATTGACTTATAACGCAATATTATTCCAAAATTCAGCTTTTATTAATACTTTCAACAAAAAGAATCGTAGCTAATGCCCTTTGAAATATAAGTTTATATCAATCTACGTGCAAAAAATTGACACGGAAGTTGACATTATAAAGAGATTATTATTTTTTTTATTCAAAACAAAAATAAAATCAAATATGTGTAAGATCATTTAAAGTTATAAATTATTACAAAATAACGGAAAAAAGAAAGATATACATAGCGATATTACTTCCCTACATTGATTTGTTTATATCTCCAACCTCTTTTTCGTAATTGATCATTGTTGTGTTTTAATACCAACAGAAAGGTAGCTCACACGGAAAGATAGAAACACAACTTTTATTCCAAATGATAGTTTTTAAGAACAGAAATAAATAATAAAAAAAGGATTGTTTAATATCTCAAAGGTGAGACAATATTCCGGAACTTACGCTGCGAATTAGTAAATCATCGACAAGGGATTGCCATATAAATGAAAACGAATTCAATTAGGGTTCATAATTACCTAATTATTTTAATTATTATTTTCGAAGTTCAATAGACAAATGGACGCAACAATTGATAGACTGTCATAGTATAAGTGTGCCTTCACAAAGATAGCATCCTCCTTGCTGCGTGTGACTTCACGAAATGTGACTTATTCTCTAGCTCGAGTTACACGGTCGTAGCATCTGAGTTCATTTTCACTTTGTAGTAGGTTTCATTCTTCTGTTCTTAAGCTATTCCGAATGACGTTATTCAGACTGCTGCAAGTCTCTTAAAGATGAAAACAACACGTTATAAATTTCATGCATCCGAAACGCTTTTCTGGATTTACCTTCATCAGGAATGTGCTCAAAGTCGAATATTTGAAAGCCAAGAATGTATGATAACCTAAACAGTTGAAGAGCTATATGACCAAAAAGGACCTTAGCCAAATTCATATAAGGTCACTATTGACTGAGGGAGTTGATACCTTAGTTTCTTTTCATTTCAATATTTATTAACGGACAATTTTAGAAAGGTGTGTTATAAATAATGTCAGTTCCAAAGTACTGACTACTGAGCTGGTGATACCATCGGGGACTGAGAGTTAAAGTCGCGTTTAGATCAAGAGGTGGTATTGAATTCGTCTACCATTATCCTCGTCTACATGTACATATTTATCAATTAATATAAAGAACAAACTCCGTAAAGACGAAAGAAAATTAATTGACAGATATTTTTTATATCTTTAAAATACCAATTTGAAACGGTTATCACACGTTTTTAAACCTAACATGACCAATGTTTTTAATTGTGTGGAGGTCTTTAATTACAAATATTACTGCAATATCCAAATATTACTCCAAAAGCTTAAACTGATGCAACCTTGTATATATATATATAAAGAAGATGTGGTATGATTGCCAATGAGACAACTCTCCACAATAGACCAAATGACACAGAAATTAACAACTGGTACATTCTTGGTATTTTTTTTAGTAAGTCTTCAATAGCCTGATGGGCCAATCTACAATTAACCTGTTGCAATTCAAACGGTAAGAAATGACTGGCTACTTCAACATGTTAAAAATTATTTAAAAATCAATTTGAAATCTTATCATCTGAGTATATATACCCCAGTGTATACAGTATTCAAGGGCTTCCATTTCCAATCATGATTTCCTTGATAGAGGATGCTGCTTACAAAGAAGCTATTAAAAAAAGTTCATTGTAGTAACGTTATTCCTTCGAAAATTTACTAATACCATCACGAGTTAGTTGACCGTTCTGTGATATCGGTGTCACCGATAACAGCGGATATGCCTTAATTGTCGTTATTACAATCCCGTCCTCTTTTATTGCAGAATGTGACCAATACATTAAACGTATCAATGCATTTGTACTTACATGAACAACACGACGGGTGCAACATGTGGAGCAGGATCTACTTACCCTTCCAGAGCACATGAGATCAACCAGGTGTTTTGGTTGGATTCGTTGTGTTTATTTGTTTATTTTCATAGTGATTAAGATTATAAAACAATGTTGACTGTTGTATCCCTATTTTGACATGTTTACCTATTATGTCTGTTTGTTTTGTGCACACATCATTGTCAATATAATGGAATTTAATGCGACTGTCATACAAGTGAAAGGTTTAGCTAGCTATAAAACCAGGTTTAATCCACCATTTTCTACATAAGAAAATCCCTGTACCAAGTCAGTAATATGACAGTTGTTATCCATTCGTTTGATGTGTTTGAGGTTTTGATTTTGCCATTTGATTACGGACTTTCCGTTTTGAATTTTCCTCGGAGTTCGGTATTTTTGTGATTTTACTTTTTGATCAGTTGTTGGTTTTGCATTTTGTGTGTTGTGTATTGGTGTTTATTTTTTGTTTTTTGTTTTTCTTCTATTTTTGCAATGGCGCTTTCAATTCATTTTCGATTGATGTTTTTAAATGTCCCTTTGTTATCTTACCGTCTCGTTTATCAAAAGACTTATTTTTGATAAGGGTATGCCACATGAATAAAACTTTAACTGACAATTTATAAAGGCAATTATTTCTCCTACCAGTCTATTTTTTTAAGATGAACTATTTTTACAGATAGAGCGAGCAATTAAATAACAGCTTACAAGCTATTTATTGTTGATACCGGAAAACGATTTGTATTGTAATTAGAATTGTCTATCAAATAAAATGACAGGGAGAAGTATCGTAAAGATTTAGATGGATAAGGAAAAAGAGATAAAAGATAACAAGCAGACAAGCCCAAAACAAATAACTCCAGACAAACAACAATAAAAAAACATCACACGTTTAACTAAAAACAAATAGCTTAATATATGTTATTTGAAGTCCCCGATCTATCAGCTAAAACATGTCATTTGAACAAAAATCTACTGGTTTTGCAAAATTAATGGTTTTTGTGAAAATGTCAGTTTCATTTTTTTATATGGCATTCTATAATAAAGCAAGGTCTTTGATATGATTATATAGTGATACAGTAAGCAATCTTGAACCAGTTGAAGAAGCCAGTCATTTCCTTCCGTTTGATAAAAAATCAACTACCCAATTTGCAGTAACGACGGTCACAGAATGCTAATTTGATGAACAAACAAAAGGGTAATTGAAGATTGTATACTTTTGGCAATTAGAGAAGCATTAGCTATTCCACTTTCGATAACAATTACCTTTTCGTATGACTATTCAAATGTTACTGTACGAATAAGGAATCATTGGATATTTGTTCTGTCTCAGCCTTGAAAAAATGTATATCGTTTAAATGCAACATAGTAAATAATAACAATTTGCAAAAGCTAAACACATTATTTAATGTAAACGAAACCATTACATCACTTGTATATGAATTTTCATCTCAAATTGTCATTTTGATCTTAACATCAGCTGAAAATTTCGAACAATCAATCGTTAAGTCATTTTTAGTCTTTCAATCTGTTAGTACAGTTCAGACAATTAGCTTGTAGTCAGCTTAGTTACGTTCAGATGATTTTCAGACAATTCAATATCATGTTGATATGGACAGTTGAATATTAACTACTGCACAGTCTGAACAAAGACTGAACAGAATTAAACTGACTGCAACCGAATTCAGAAAACATTGATGAATTTACCGCAGTAGATAAGCGAAATGTGACTGAAAGATTAAAAATTACTTAAAATTTATTGTGCAGTCTTTTACAATCTTTTCATTTTAGATCAAAATTAGTGTTCTAGTGTTCGTAATTATTAGGTTATGAACAATCTTAATAACTGAGGTATTTGTAATATATCGTTCTTACTTTGTATTTCAAATGCGCAATTTAATTGTCTTTGTTAACGTTTTCTGTAATGAAGATTCATTTGCAGATAAATCATCAGTTTCACCAACCACCGAACAGACACCGACAGATACAACATCATATTCAACTACTGAACAGATTACTACAGACACAACATCAGTTCCTTCTACTGACCAGAAAACTCCAGATACAACATCAGTTCCTTCTACTGATCAGACAACTCCAGATACAACACCAGTTCCTGCTACAGAACAGATAACTCCAGATACAACATCAGTGTCAACTAATGAACAGACAACTCTAGATACAACATCAGTTCATACTACTGATCAAACAACTCCAGATATAACATCAGTTCCTACTACTGATCAGACAACTCCAGATACAACATCAGTGACGACTACCGATCAGACAACTCCAGATACAACATCAGTGACGACTACTGATCAGACAACTCCAGATACAACATCAGTTCCTACTACCGATCAGACAACTCCATATACAACATCAGTTCCTACTACTGATCAGACAACTCCAGATACAACATCAGTGACGACTAGTGAACAGACAACTCCAGATTCAACATCTGTTCCTACTATTGAACAGACAGCCCCATCTACAACATCAATTCCTACTACTGATCAGACAACTCAAGATATAACATCAGTTCCTACTACTGATCAGACAACTCCAGATACCACATCAGTGACGACTACTGATCAGATAACTCCAGATACAACATTAGTTCCTACTACCGATCAGACAACTCCAATTACAACATCAGTTCCTACTACTGATCAGACAACTCCAGATATAACATCAGTTCATACTACTGATCAGACAACTCAAGATACAAAATCAGTTTTTACTACTGATCAGACAACTCCAGATACAATATCAGTTCCTACTTCTGAACAGACAATTCCAGATACAACATCAATTCCTACTACTGATCAGACAACTCCAGCTATAACATCAGTTCCTACTACTGAACAGACAACTCCATATACAACATCAGTTCCTACTACTCAAAAGAAAACTCCAGATACAACATCAGTTCCTACTACTGATCTGACAACTCCAGATACATCATCAGTTCCTTCTACTGATAAGACAACTGCAGATACAATATCAGTGACAACTACTGAACAGAAAACTCCGGATACAACATCAGTTCCTGCTACTGAACATCCAACTCCAGATACAACATCAGTTCCTACTATTGATCAGACAACTCCAGATACAATATCAGTTACTACTACTGATCAGACAACTCAATATACAACATCAATTCCTACTACTGATCAGACAACTCCAGATACAACATCGGTGACGACTACTAATCAGACAACTCCATATACAACATCAGTTCCTACTACTGATCAGACAACTCCATATACAACATCAGTGACCACTGCTGATTACACAACTCCAGATAAAACATCAGTGACGACGATTACTGATCAGACAACTCCAGATACAACATCAGTTCATACTACTGATCAGACAATTTCAGATACAACATCAGTGACGATAACTGAACAGACAACTCCAGATACAACATCAGTTCCTACTACTGAACAGACAACTCCACCTACAACATCAAATCCTACTACTGATAGGACAACTTCAGATACAACATCAGTTCCTACTTCTGAACAGACAATTCAATATACAACCTCAGTTCCTACTACTGATCAGACAACTCCAGATATAACATCAGTTCCTACTACTGATCAGACAACTCCAGATACATTATCAGTGACGACTACTGATCAGACAACACCAGAAACAACATCAGTTCCTACTACTGATCAGACAACTCCAGATACAACATCAGTGACGACTACCGATCAGACAACTCCATATACAACATCACTGGCGACTACTGATCAGACATCTCCATATACAACATCAGTTCCTACTACTGATCAGACAACTCCAGATACAACATCAGTTCCTACTACTGATCAGACAACTCCAGATACAACATCAGTGACGACTACCGATCAGACAACTCCATATACAACATCAGTGACGACTACTGAACAGACAACTCCAGATACAACATCAGTGACGACTACTGAACAGACAACTCCAGATACAACATCAATACCTACTACTGAATGGACAACTTCAGATACAACATCAGTTCCGAATACTGATCAGACAACTCCAGATATAGCATCAGTTCCTACTACTGATCAGACAACTCCATATACAACATCAGTGACGACTACTGATCAGACAACTCCATATACAACATCAGTTCCTGCTACTGATCAGACAACTACTGATACAACATCAGTGACGACTACCGATCAGACAACTCCATATACAACATCACTGACGACTACTAATCAGACATCTCCATATACATCATTAGTTCGTAATACTGATCAGACAACTCCAGATACAACATCAGTGACGACTACTGAACAGACAACTCCAGATACAACATCAGTGACGACTACTGAACAGACAACTCCAGATACAACATCAATTCCTACTACTGATTGGACAATTTCAGGTACAATATCAGTTACTACTACTGATCAGACAACTCAATATACAACATCAATTCCTACTACTGATCAGACAACTCCAGATACAACATCAGTGACGACTACTGATCAGACAACTCCAGATACAACATCAGTTCATACTACTGATCAGACAATTCCGGATACAACATCAGTGACGATAACTGAACAGACAACTCCAGATACAACATCAGTTCCTACTACTGAACAGACAACTCCACCTACAACATCAATTCCTACTACTGATCGGACAACTTCAGATACAGCATCAATTCCTTTTACGGATAAGACAACTCTATATACAACATCATTTCCTACTACTGATCAGACTACTCCGGATACAACATCAGTTCCTTCTACTGATCAGACAACCCAAGATACAACATCAATTCCTACTACTAAACAGACAACTCCAGATACAACATCAGTTCCTACTATTGATCAGACAACTCCAGATACAACATCAGTTCCTACTACTGAACAGACAACTCCAGATACAACATCAATTTCTTCTACTGATAGGACAACTCCAGATACAACACCAGTTCCTACTACTGATCAGACAACTCCAGATACAACACCTGTGACGACTACTGAACAGACAACTCCATATACAACATCAGTTCCTACTACTGATCGGACAACTCCAGTTACAACATCAGTTCCTACTACTGATCAGACAACTCTAGATACAACACCAGTTCCTACTACTGATCAGACAACTCCAGATACAACATCAGTGACGACTACTGATCTGACAAATCCATATACAACATTAGTTCCTTCTACTGATCTGGCAACTCCATATACAACATCAGTACCTACTACTGATCAGACAACTCCAGATACAACATCAGTGGCGACTACTAAACAGACAACTCCAGATACAACATCAGTGCGAAATACTGAAGAGACAACTCCAGATACAACATATGTTGCAACTACTGAAGATAAATCTCCAGATACAATATCAGTTCCTACTCCTGAACAGAAAACTCAAGATACTACATCAGACCCTTCTACTGATCAGGCAACTCCATATACAACATCAGTTCCTACTACTGACCAGACAACTCTAGATACAACATCAGTTCCTTCTACTGATCAGACAACTCCAGATACAGCATCAATTCCTTTTACGGATCAAACTACTCCATATACAACATCATGTCCTACTACTGATCAGACTACTCCGGATACAACATTAGTTCCTTCTACTGATCAGACAACCCAAGATACAACATCAGTTCCTACTTCTGAAGAGACAACTCCAGATACAACATCAGTTCCTACTATTGATCAGACAACTCCAGATACAACATCAGTTCTTACTACTGAACAGACAACTCCAGATACAACATCAATTTCTTCTACTGATAGGACAACTCCAGATACAACACCAGTTCCTACTACTGATCAGACAACTCCAGATACAACACCTGTGACGACTACTGAACAGACAACTCCATATACAACATCAGTTCCTACTACTGATTGGACAACTCCAGTTACAACATCAGTTCCTACTACTGATCAGACAACTCTAGATACAACATCAGTTCATTCTACTGATCAGACAACTCCAGATACAACATCAGTGACGACTACTGATCTGACAAATCCATATACAACATCAGTTCCTACTACTGATCGGACAACTCCAGATACATCAGTCCCTACTATTGATCAGACAACTCTATATACAACATCAGTTCATACTACTGAACAGACAACTCCAAATACAACATCAGTTCCTACTACTGATCAGACAACTCAAGATACAACATCAGTGACGACTACTGATCGGACAACTCCAGATACAACATCAGTTCTTTCTACTGATCTGTCAACTTTATATACAACATCAGTGACGACTACTGATCTGACAAATCCATATACAACATTAGTTCCTTCTACTGATCTGGCAACTCCATATACAACATCAGTACCTACTACTGATCAGACAACTCCAGATACAACATCAGTGGCGACTACTAAACAGACAACTCCAGATACAACATCAGTGCCAAATACTGAAGAGACAACTCCAGATACAACATATGTTCGAACTACTGAAGATAAATCTCCAGATACAATATCAGTTCCTACTCCTGAACAGAAAACTCAAGATACAACATCAATTCCTACTACTGAACAGACAACTCCAGATACAACATCAGTTCCTACTATTGATCAGACAACTCCAGATACAACATCAGTTCCTACTACTGAACAGACAACTCCAGATACGACATCAATTTCTTCTACTGATAGGACAACTCCAGATACAACACCAGTTCCTACTACTGACCAGACAACTCTAGATACAACATCAGTTCCTTCTACTGATCAGACAACTCCAGATACAGCATCAATTCCTTTTACGGATCAGACAACTCCATATACAACATCATTTCCTACTACTGATCAGACTACTCCGGATACAACATCAGTTCCTTCTACTGATCAGACAACTCCAGATACAACATCAGTTCCTTTTATTGATCAGACAACTCCAGATACAACATCAGTTCCTACTACTGAACAGACAACTCCAGATACAACATCAATTTCTTCTACTGATAGGACAACTCCAGATACAACACCAGTTCCTACTACTGATCAGACAACTCCAGATACAACACCTGTGACGACTACTGAACAGACAACTCCATATACAACATCAGTTCCTACTACTGATAGGACAACTCCAGTTACAACATCAGTTCCTACTACTGATCAGACAACTCTAGATACAACATCAGTTCATACTACTGATCGGACAACTCCAGATACAACATCAGTGACGACTACTGATCTGACAAATCCATATACAACATCAGTTCCTACTACTGATCGGACAACTCCAGATACATCAGTCCCTACTACTGATCAGACAACTCTATATACAACATCAGTTCATACTACTGAACAGACAACTCCAAATACAACATCAGTTCCTACTACTGATCAGACAACTCAAGATACAACATCAGTGACGACTACTGATCGGACAACTCCAGATACAACATCAATTCTTTCTACTGATCTGTCAACTCCATATACAACATCAGTTTCTACTACTGATGAGACAACTCCAGATGCAACATCAGTGACGACTACTGAACAGGCAAATCCAGATACAACATCAGTGACGACTACTGATCGGACAACTCCAGATACAACATCAGTTCCATCTACTGATCAGACAACTCCAGATACAACATCAGTGACGACTACTGATCAGACAACTTCAGATACATCATTAGTTCCTACTTCTAATCAGACAAGTAGAAATTCAACATCTGAAATTACCTTAGTAGCAACGACTGAAGAGACAACTAAAATATCCGCACCTACTACGCAATTTACAATGACATTTACAAGTGGAACTAGTGCAAGCAAAACAATTGAAACAACAACATTGTCTTCAACGCAAACTATCTCTGAAATTCAGTCCACAAATGCATCTTCTGGTCCTACTCGTGAATCAACAAGGATGACAACTTCAACAGCCTCTGTTTCTCAAATAACCACGAACATACCTATCACAACTACAGCATTCTATCAAAAAGAACCAGATTTGGGTAAGCGCCATTTATTTGCATGTATAATGAAAAACTATCTTATATCATTTACTATATTAAATAGTTAAAATGTATTCTTTTCATTTCAATAAAAATTGAAAAAAAAAGTTTGCGGTTAAGAAATAGGCTTATAAGAAATTACTAAACTATGAGTGAATACGACATTTGTCTAATCAGAATAACGTCCTGTCATAGATTAGTTCCCAGCTGGACGTTTTAATCGTGTGTTAAAGGTTAGGTAATACAAATTGACGGTCTGTGTAGTTTCAAAATATATTTACTTTGATGTTATGCTGGTTTGAATTTTCGAAAATTTGTCTATAAACAATACAACTTGAAATTTTAAAGCCGCGCTTTAATCTAGAGAATTGGTGTTATGAAATAGCCAAGCCCTTCAAATATGCGCCGGCATTTGAATTGGTAAATTTACACTATGTTTATTGCCACTAAGCGAAATAAACAATGCACGGACCTTTCACGTATAATATTAATTCATCATTAATTTTTATTGACTGAATAATTAAAATACCTTCAAACAATCCATATAAGATATAAAAGGTATCCATTGAAGCTCAAAGTGAAGATTTGATGCTACTTTATTTGAATTAAAGTAGAACATTGACGCAGTATAAGCAACAGTCCCAATTTGTTGACATCTAGTTAATTTACTTTGATATGCAGTCCATTCAAACTAAAATAAAGACGTATGGCAACGTACACCTTGAAATAATATTAACTCTAATTGGCATATTTTTTGGTTATATTATGTTGACAATTTTTATATACGTGTATATGAATACATGTTATTATTGCATAGTCCTTGTCAACAATCAATGTTAAGATGATTGTTTTTCAATTTTGTTTTTGTAGATAAAACAATTGCTGTAGAAGTCAAACTTTTCCTAGAAAATGAAACGTTTTCACTTGAATTGAACAATCCACTTTCTACAGAATATTCTCGACTCAAGGGATCAATGACTAATCTGGTACGTATATAACAAAAATGTGAAGTCAAAATTAGTTTTAACCTTTAACCAGAACTTTAAGAATGATATGTCATGAAACTGATAAAACTGTTTTAAAACATCTGTACCCTACGACAATCGTATGGTAGAAATGACAGAATATGTTCTAGTGTAAAGTAAAATCACAAAAATACTGAACTCCGAGGAAAATTCAATCGGAAAGTCCCTAATCACATGGCAAAATCAAATGACAAAACACATCAAACGAATGGACAACAACTGTCATATTCCTGACTTGGTAGAATGTAGAAAATGGTGGATTGAACCTGGTTTTATAGCGCTAAACCTCTCACTTGTACGACAGTCGCATCAAATTTAATAATATTGAAAATGATGCGTGAACAAAACAAACAGACACAATAGGTAAAAATGTCACAAATAAAGGTAAGAAGTCTAATTCGGTAGGTCACATTCGTGAAAAGGGAACGGGATTGCAGTTACGACATAAGGAACATATCTATGTAAGTCTGTATAAAATTGTTCCAAGGTAAAACTGTCCGAAGCTATGATAAATCAATTCTACATTAGGCATATAACATATATATATAATCTCAGATCTTGATTTGGAAAAGTTTATTGAGCTTGAATGGTATATGATTAGGATTTTCTTCTGTCAGACAAACATTTAATGAAAGTATTGTATACAATCTCGAGAAAATAAGATTATGTAATTAGTTAATAACTAAAATATTCATATCTGTTTTATATTTAGTAATTGTTATGAAAAGGTGTGAGATGAGATTTTCTTCGGATAGACAATTAGAAGCATTATTGGTATCTGTCAGAGGCAAAACATTTAGAATACAAACTGGCTGCATCATTTTTTTTCGCGAACAGTTTTATCATATCGATGGGGTTTACCTAATAAACAATATGAAATTGTACAATCGTATGCAAGGTTACATATGTGGTTATTATACAAATAGTTCGAGAATACACAAACAATTTGTGAAGCTTATACACGTAACATACATCGATCAATACAAAAAACATTTTGTTCAAAGATGTACAACACTATATACATGATATACACATTAATAATGACAACGATATCCTTATACCTGTTGTTTGACATATTAGAAATAAGCAGTAAAAATGTAAATGAATAAGTTAATACATAAAACATGCACACATAGAATAACGAGTAAAACAATTAGTTAATATATGAACCACCCGTAAATATTTGAAGATAGACCTTTTGAGAATAAAAATGGAAATGTTTAGACTGTTCAAGGATAGAACTGTCCGAAACTGTTCTAAGGTAATTCGGCTTCAAACAGAAACTTTTCTAGATGTGTCAGGAAAACTTTTTCAGAGATTATTGGAGAATAGTTCTTCTTATATTTCAATAGATAATTTAAAGAGATGTTTTAGAACTGATTCCAACTGTAAATTTATTAATTTAGTTAAGTCGATATGTGTGTATGGTGCCGTAAAAATTGAACCGTAAATCTGCTTATCTCCAAAGGTTTAACAACAATAAATTGAAACTAACCTGCACATATATTAGCAGGCTTATATGCAAGCATGAACATGAATAATGAAAGTAACCTCAACGTATAACTGAAATAACTATTGAAAACTATCAATCATTTTTAACCTTACTTTATATTTTCAGCTGTTCGATCAATATAAGAATGTTATTGGTTTTAAAGATGTTGACATCTATAAATTTAGGTAGGTTAAAACAGTGATAATTAAAATACATAATTTATGATTTTTTTTATTTGTACATTTGCATTTTTCATTTCTATTGGCATTTGTTTAAACGTTTTTAAGAGGTAAGTATCAAATCTTAGTTGTTTCCCCTATGTGTTTGGGAGCCTACAGTCTGTTCTCATTCATTGTCTCTTACATATCCATGTGCGCTTGATTGTGTATATGTCTATTTATAATACTTGTCCAGACTAAGTAATGTAAAAAAAATTGAAATCGTCACCAATTAGGGCAATATCTTATTTTCTTAATTTAGGTCTAATTGCATTTATTCCCTCCTTCATTTTATTTAGATATATATCGTCTGTTTTATCTGAAAGACAATAAAATGACCTACACGCATTGCGTTTCCTCCTTCTTGTGAATTGTATCAGTAGGCAAATACATATATATGCTTCAATTGTTATGCTCAGTTGTTATGCTTGTTTCGTTGATAGTTCAAGTCGAGTATGTGGTAATTTGGATCAGGGTTTGACAAAAGTACTTTCCTTAAAGTCATGCATTAGTTTAAATATCTTATTCATTTTCAAATTATTTCCTATCCATTATTTGTTTGCGTTCAACTGAACATGTTTCTGTCGTTTAGAATAGAATGTTATTTTGTTGGAAAAACTCAAAGAACAATTTAAATATTCATCGTTCGATTCATTTACATACTGAAAACGATCTTTTTGTAATTGTTTTCTGATGCAAATGGAAAGTCAAATTCTCCGTGTTCAAATCCAGTATGTTAATAAAAAAAACTGTTTGTAACAAAATTAATATGTTTGTTCATTATTAATTGTCTTTTTAAAACAGTGTATGTGGAGAGTACGGAGACTGTATCGATAAGGTTTCAAGATACAAAAGGGAAACTCAAACGATGTAAGTATTCTTTGCAGTTTAGTTATATGATAGAGTTTCTGTTGTGGGTAGTCGTACGTCTAGAGTTAGTTCTGTTCCAATAGTGATGTAATTAGGACTAAAAAATAATGCTGTTATTTATAGAATTGATTTCAATTTAGCATTGAGCAAATAAGATTAGTATTTTGCATAGTCTATGCATAAACCTAAAGTATGTTTAGTTATATACTGAGTCATGTGAATATTCATTTATATATAAACCAGTATGAAATATTTAAAAGAAATCTATTATTTTTAATTAAAGCATTGGCAAACAGTAAGTTACTATATTTGATTCTTTACAACATTTTTTTTTATCTGACGATAGCAATGATAAACATGTTTGTTTTACTTCCAATTGTCCTGAAAGTATCTCAATAACAAAGCGTGTTGCAGATGAAGAAATCTTTTGTGCTCTATTCCACCAATTCACGAGCAAAAATAAACATATGGAATGATTCATGAAGTGCATATTATAAACTATGCTGACTGATCAAATATGTTTCGTCTACTCCGATGAACATGCCAATGATTTATTGGTTGAATGCATTTTATGTATGTGTACTTTGGAGCAATATATAAAAGAATTATTCATTTTGATTTAGACCTTCATCTTCAACATGGTCAAGACTTGAAAACCTCTATGTTTCCAAAAGTTTTTGGAAGACAACAAACAGACCGCAGCACTTTCACACACACGATACTTCTAGCAGAGATCCTTTACACAAATCATGTGAAAATGATACATAACGTTCAAGCAGTTCTTTTCTTACTTACAATTATTTTAAATTATAAAAATGTGAGTGCATGCACCCGGATGTCTGTTGTCTTTGTTCATGTCAATGTAAACACTATTTCAGAGTTAACTTTACCATTTATGTAAGTATTCATGATTATCAATGTTATCCATTGAGGCTCGACCCTGAAACTTTTTAATAGATTATGTCAATCGATACAATTTGGTAGATGATCTGCTAATAATTAAAACGTTAGTTTTCTCTCTGTAAATTTGTCTTTAACCATATTTTCTAATAAGTACATGTTACAGTGTAAACAAGAATAAGCGACAATTGTATTTATTCATACTTCTGTTTTTAGCTTACAGATAGACTACGGAATCAATATTTATATTTTCAAAGCCCTCAATGGAACAGGCTTCAGTGATAAAGTGTTTAAAACAATTGAACAAGTAACGCATGACATTTTAAACAATTCCACCTTCATGGATCTCAGTATAACTAAACAGAACGAAACAATGCTTTTGTTGTCTACAGGTGAGTAGAACGTATGGTTTGCGGATAACCTGCTTAAAGTTTATCACTATACCTTTTGTAACATGTATAATTGATAAAGTGTATCTGTTTTCTTTTCCGTATATGTGGATGTACTAAATAAATGTAAATGTAAAAATTAAGCTTATGATTTATAAGATGCTCTCCTACCATTGCCTTTGAAGTATTAACCTTGTATTAAAATGTCTGTTTGCATATTGTTTATTATATCATAGAATATCACCATGATATAACACTATGCAATATGACAGTCTCAAACCTGGTTATCAGGAACAGTATAATGATATACTTTTTTTGTTATATAAAGATCAATGCAAGTTGTGATGAGTTCGAGATATTTTAAACCCTATGACGATCTATCTGTAGAAAATTATACTGTAAATACATTGTCATCAATAGGCAATATGTAGGAAAATCCGTAAATTATTCATTTAAGATATTAAACAATGGCTTGTTTTATAATAAATAAATTTGAAAAAAAAAAAACAAACAAACAACAACTGGCAATTAACAAGAACAGTATGTGATTTGTGTGGAATACTGTTTTGGTATTTCCGAAGAAATGTAAACATTCATCACTTGTTGGTTATGAAGTTCTTTTTTATCTATATAACATATATATGAAGATTCATCCCTTAATATTTCGATCTTTTATGTTTTTTTTAGAAATACAAGACAAGAACACTACTGACTTATCGCATCTGTTTTGTGGAGTTGGATACTCATTTAACAAATCCACTACTAAGTGTGAATCATTTTGTAAGCATTTACAACCTCAATGCAAAAACAATGGATATTGTATGTTAGACATACTTGGAAACCAAGAATGCCGGTATGTTTTAAAGTAAATAAGAAAACAAAAAGTATTTCAGAAAGTCATATAAATAAGAGAAAGTCTGTGTATTTAAAGATCTAAAGGTTAAGAGTAAAACAAAGGGAGAACTATGCCGATGAGGAAATAAAAGTAACCGGAAAATGTAAACAAATGCGGATATAAATTGTCATCGATATCAAAAGGATGTAACCCCTGTAAAGAATAACTACCTTTAACAAGATGCAGTCAATACTTGGAATAAGAAAACTTTTCTACCTTAAGATAGTACAATCCTAAACAATCATTTAATTATTTTTTATAGACAACCCCTAACTTAAAGACACTTAATTTAAGTTCGTTTTCTTTATGAAAAATGAACACAATTGATCTTTATATGTTGTCTGTAAAATTAAATACATGACCAAAAGCTTAAGTAAAAATTAAATTTTCCATTTTACAACAGTTTCGCGCAAAGCTTAACCTATTTTCATTTTTCGTCAGTCTTTTTTCAATTCTATCAGAATATATTGAAATTAAAATATGGTATCCCTTTTTTTTCATTTCAAGTTTATTATACTCAGATACTGTTATTTGATGAGATTAAAATAAATGTTTCATCAATGTATTAAGCCATCTACATGATCTATAGTTTATGGATGTATTTTGTGAATTTTTTTCTTCTTTTTTTCATTTAGCCCAATTTTTTTACCGCCGTTTTCGGATACACCATTTGATATCTCCTTTTGAATTTATATTTTCCAATACAATCCTTTCCCACATTTGTTGTAGATGCCAACAGACTGAAGACTTTGTATTCTCTGGACAATATTGTGAAATTCAAGCAGAAAAACTTGTTTTGGAGTCTAAGTACATCATTGCTATAAGTACCACTATCGGGGTCATACTTCTTGTGGTCATATTGATTACTTGCATGTTGTATTATTTAAAAGGACGGAAAAGAACAAAATCAATTGAATCAGTGTAAGTATTCACATTTTTATATTTGTATATAGTGACAACCATATAGATTGGAACATCGTGGGAAGAAAGCTAGTTTTCTCTCCTCCTACTGATAACGTTTCTTCTCCCACCAGTGATAATCATAACGTTTGATAAATATCTGCAATATTTGGAATATTTGTATTTGATTACACGATATCCTTATCCTTCTAACCATACCAGACCAGACTACCAAATTGTCTCCTCTATTGCTAAAAAGTGCATCTCTTCATCAGCATCAGGAAAAGTGTGCTTTATTTTCAAAATTCAAATAAATATAAAAATCAATCCCAATTATTGTCATATTAACCTGTAATGTCTGTTTGGGTTGCTCATATAATTTTGTCAATAACATGGTACTATTGATAACTAGTACTGTCATACACGCTGCAGGTTTAGCTAGCTATACAACCAGGTTCAACTCATAATTTTTCTTATGAAAATGTTTGTACCAAGTCAGGAATATGGCAGTTGTTTTTCATTTGTTCCTTATGTCGATAGCTTTTGATTTTGTAATTTTTTTTGCCTGGGAGTTTGTTTTTTTTTCTCCTTTTTTTGATCAACGCACGTGAAAAAGAAGATTTCGAAAGAAGGATTATGGCTTTTATTGAAATTACTTCGAAAAGCGTTTAAACTAATACATTCTAACCATCTAGGATTAATGAACATTTTAACATCAAGTACAAACTACATAGTTAAGGTAATCATACACAATTTGCATGTGTGTCCGTTTTGGAGACCATTGTTACATTGTGTTAATACTTTCTTATTTTTGATGGAAATCTTTGATACAAATTCCTTGTTCTGGGTCATGAAAAGTCTTATGTTGTGAAGAATGATTTTCAAACAATTATTACACCGAAGATTTTGAAAAAAATCTGAATGTTTTGACCAAAACATATGTTTTAGTATTGGTGGAGTGATATTTTACCACACTATATAATCCATACATAGAGTTTCCCACACTTACAGATCCGACTTGTGTTAATTCTTAGATGAAGCAGAATTCTTCTCAAAGACAAAACAAAGTATCTTGCAAGGTTCTTTTGTTTTACTTTCAGGTTTTTTTATGATGTCCTTTCACTTTAAAAAAAAGCCAACATTTCGTTGCTCATTAGGATCTTTTATATTCCAGTGAACATGCGGCTGAAGTTACTATCAAGACTAAAAATCGGCTTCGTATCTTGATAATTTACACGATATTGGTCAATATGGACCACGTAAAACTAGAATATATGACAACCCCCAAATTCCACAGTAGCACCATACCCTATGGCGCATCGAATTGCCTAAATTAAACAACTAGTTAAATACAACAATAAATGCTGCATTCTAAATAAAACACTTAAGCCTTTTCGCTCTTATTGGTAAATATAATTTGTCGGCTTGTTTATTACTGCATTTAAGATGAACATGACCGTTATGGTTATATCACTAATGATAAATACAATATCAATATTGGAAAGTTTGTTTACAAGAATAAGCACTTTTCTGCTTCAGTAGTTATGGAGAGGAAAATATCAGTCAGTATCGTCCAAGCAGTGTTCGCAGGAGTTTTTATGCATCAGCTGATGTATATTCATCCGTTTATAAAACATATGATAATGAAGTTACACAACAGGATACATTTGACATTAACGAAGATAGCAATAGAAAAGTACGTTAATTTAACTTATTTTAATAAGGGTCATATACTTGATATAGCAGCATAATCATCATATGAGTAACAGAAAAAAAATATCATCTTAAAATGATTATTTAGTGTTGTATGTCTTATTTGCAATAAGTAAATGATTCATGGAAAAAAAATATGATGCAAATCTTTTTTGAGCCAACATGATAATACAGCAGTTAGTGACACAGTTATTTAGGTTTGAGCAAATACAACTGAAACGTATGTGTACAGCGGTGACGTTCTCGTTGTAGCGGATTATTCTGATCAAACTGAATCTATATTTAAATCCGAATTATTTGAAATCAATTGTTATAAATTTAACATACTACATATTTGCATGGTGTATTGCCCGTACTTAAAGTAGGATATAGGAAACCCGAAAAGGGTAAGAACCAGAGCGTAAAGCTGATTTTAAGGCAGTAATTTAGTTTAAGAATACGTATTGCTTCAAATTTTTTTTCTAGTAGATAAATATATAAAATTATATTATGATACAACCTTAATAGTGTGTATTTTATGCTTCAGATTTATACGACATATGATAATACCAGGACTATTGACAGTGAAGAAAGGTTGTCACCCTGGTATCAAAGTAAAGATATCATCAGTGGAGAGGAGGTAATACAAACATTAAGGAGAGAGATATTCAATTTGTATTGAACTTTTTCGAAATAAAGAATATCCGTGTAAAACAATGTTTTAATTAACCGTTGATTGTTCAGTCTAAATTCCGTTATTAACGAACAATTTTAATTTTTTGAGTTCAAATGTTTAGAACTAAGAACGAATAACATTTGCTTTTACCGAAAATCAAATGCATATGATAAAAACGGAAAAAGCTAGTGAGCCTGTTTTTTCATTGGTTGTATTGGGTAATTGCCTGTCATATTTGTTTTTCACCTTTCGTTTTCTTTCCTGAATAAGTTTACATTTGGCTATGTTGAAAGACTTTTTAAAGCATACTACAAGGTGTTGATTTGGCTCATTGCTGAAGGTGAGACAGTGACCTATAATTGCTAACATCTCCGTCATGTGACCTCTTTATGTTAGTTGTTACATTATGAATCGTATTTAATATTCTTGATGATATATTTACTACACATAATAATTCAAGGGTCAAGAATGTATTATGTTGAATATTCTCAGTACATGTATATACAAACGTCACTGTTTTTGAGTTCTGATAGCATAGTTGTCATCTGGTAATACTATTTAAAATGTTTTGTCGTTAAATTATCTTTCCATATTTTTTATGATTTCAGTTCACAATTAAAAGACCAAAGATCATTTTATACAGAGCATCCATATATGATTGTTAATTCGTAAATG